ATTTTGTGTTGGGCGATGGACCTTGTTGGGAAACCAAATACTACATTGCCGGTCTGGAGCCATCTCCATTCATATCACCCATCCGCGTTTGTGCTTCTGTGTGTCTTCAAGTTCCCGTGAACGCAAATGCCTGGCTGGTCAGGTTTGGTGAGGCTTTCTCCAAACTGGCCAAATACAAACGAGACAGCGATAAATGGATGTTAACAAGAAATGTGTCAACGATTCCTATTTCAAAGAGAGCGCGTGCAGACGAGGAGTTAATGCGCCCGCTTGCTTGGCTGTGGAACAGTGAACCGTGTCTACACCTGACACGACACCGCCTCAACAGGTTGAGTCTCTACACAGGACATTTGAACTTTGTGTCAGTACCTCATAAACAGGACGAGGCAGTTTACTGTCGGGGATTTGTCATGTCGTGTTGCGCCGCATCCAGTGTAAACAGCATTACTAATTATAATGAGTTCTTTAGTAGTATTTTGTCACGCCGCACCACTCGTGTCCGGTAGACAGGGTGTAACTTTCTTATTTAGGCTACTTTTTTATTTAACTGTATTATTTCTTTGATATTTATTTTAGTGTTTTGCTGACTGCGCGTTCACATCACGGAAGTGCTAAAATAAACACGCATGTTTGTTAATAGATGATCGAGCATCATTTATTTATTATTTGTGTTTCAAAATAATATATATATATATATATAAGTATATATATAATTAATATTAATTTAATTATATATATATATATATATCAACACTGCGCCACCGACAGTAGTTGATCCATTACCACCACGGTGGTAAAAATCTGCCACCGTCACAACCCTAACCAGGACCAACATGGACCATGTCTTACTAGTCATTTGATTGGATTGGCTGTCTCTATCGTTTAGAAATGTATGTGGAGGAAAGTCACACCTTAACTGCAGCACAATTTATTTTTTCTTGTCTGTCAGATCACCACGGTGCCTCTCCTCTGGCCAGTCCCATGTCCCCTCACTCTCTCTCGTCTAACCCCTCATCACGTGACTCCTCACCCAGCCGAGACCTGTCCCCAGCTGTCTCCTGTATCAAACCCGCCATAGTCATCCACCGAGCCGGCAAGAAATACGGTTTCACCCTGCGTGCCATCAGGGTTTACATGGGAGACACAGACATTTATACTGTGCACCACATGGTTTGGGTGAGTATGGCAGATTCTGTTATTCTTCTTGATGCAGTTAGACTGCACCAATTTGTGGTTTTGAGTGCTCTAACATATTGCTTTGCAGCACGTAGAGGATGGGGGACCTGCTCATGAGGCTGGACTGAGAGAGGGAGATCTCATCACACATGTTAATGGAGAGACTGTCCATGGACTTGTGCATACAGAAGTTGTAGAGCTCATTCTCAAGGTACATTGGCAGCCCTAATCTGATGAGCATTGTTGCTTTAGAAATTATTGATTTTCAGATTAATTTCTTTTTATGTTGCAGTGTGGCAGTAAGGTGTCCATTTCTGCTACGCCCTTTGAGAATACATCTATTAAAGTTGGCCCTGCACGCAAAACCAGCCACAAGTCCAAAATGGCCCGGCGCAACAAAAGAACCAAAACCAGAGAAGGACAAGACAGGTGAAGTCTAATGTTTACCATCAAATCCAAATACTTAAGACACAAAGTTCTTCCCATTTCAGTTCCTCAGACTTACATTTGCTATCCCATTTATGGTTTGTATATACTTGTATATCCACTACAGTAAGAAGAGAAACTCCCTGTTTCGTAAGATCACCAAGCAGGCGACCCTTCTCCACACCAGTCGTAGCCTGTCCTCTCTGAACCGCTCAGTCTCATCAGGTGAAAGTGTCCCAGGGTCTCCCACGCACATGTCCCCTCGTTCACCCACACAGGGCTGTCGTTCCACACCCGACTCTGCCCACTCAGGTGAAGCTCCATACAAACTAATGCTAATATGATTTTGATGCACGTAATGTCATGTCAAATCATGTTCTCAATTCATTTAACGTTGTCATCTACATACAATATTGTAATTAGTTCCCCATTATGAAATCAATATCCTGTCTTAAGTAATTTAATTCATCTTCATATTTCTTTTTAAAAGTTTAATCTTTAACCTTAAACTTTCTCTTTCTCTAATGCAGTTGGTGCGAACTCATCCCAAAGTAGCTCACCTAGCTCCAGTGTGCCAAACTCTCCTGCCAGTTCTGGTCAGATCAGACCCAGCTCCTTGCATGGTCTGGCTCCTAAACTACAGCGCCAGTACCGCTCCCCCCGCCGGAAGTCAGCAGGCAATATCCCATTATCCCCTCTGGCTCGTACACCATCACCCACCCCTCAGAGCACCTCCCCACAGCGTTCTCCTTCACCCCTGCCAAGCCACTCACTCATCACTTCTTCAATAGGCCAGTCTTTCCCTGTCAAACTCCACTCTTCACCTCCATTAGTAAGACAGATATCCCGCCCAAAGAGTGCAGACCCTCCTCGCTCTCCTCTGCTCAAACGTGTCCAATCAGCTGAGAAGCTTGCAGCCTCTCTTTCTTCTTCATCCTCCTCTCCTTCTCCATCCTCTGCTGCTGATAAAAAGCTGCCAGTTGGTGCCAGCCGCAAACACAGTCTTGATACCTCACATTCAGATTTTAAAAAAGAGATGCTGCAGCGAGACCCCAGTCTACAGAGCCTGCAGGAGTCAGCCAGTGAGACTCTAATGGGAGGAAGAGTGTCTCCTGCAGAAAAGGGCAGCCTGCAGAAAAGTTCAGTTCGTAAACTGGGCAGGCAAGAAGGTCCTGAGTCTGGAACTGGAACTCTGGGACTTGTTCCTGGGAAGAGTAAACTGAAAGACAAGCTGTCTGCCATACGCCAGGATCGCGCTGAGCGTCGCGAGTCTCTTCAAAAGCAGGATGCCATCCACGAGGTGGACTCCTCAGAGGATGAGACAGATGAAGGGTCGGAAGATAGCCAAGATGGACGTAGGACAAGCTATGTTCCTCCAGGCCATGTCTTGAGGCCTACTACTGTAATGGCCTTTCCCCATACCATCAGGATGGGACCAGCAGCTCCACCAACACTGGGACTGTTGCCCTCAACGGTTGCAGCCCCAGGCTTACCTCAGCCCAGCAGAGGACTGCAGATACAAAGCCAAAGTACCACTCAATCTCAGACACAAACTTCAGCCTCACTGTCAATGCAAGGTACCGCCAAGCCCCCAGAACCGAATCCTACAACCTCTATTGTGGCCCAAGGCTCCAGTTCAACACTAGCTGAAGAGTCAAAAGCACAGGACTCTCAATTCAGTGTAAGGCCTTCTCCACCTCAACCCAGCCCTCTATCCAGCACCTTTTCCACCCATGGTAGCGCCTTTACCTCTGTCAGCAAAGACCCATTTGTCAAACCCACAACACCTCCACTGGATTCCCAGAGGACCCCCAGAACTTCTGAGCCCAGGTCCAAAACCAGTGGTAAAATGGATCCTAGCACTGCTTCTGGAGTGACCATGGATATCCCTGTTGCTATCACACCAACTGGAGGCATCACCAAGGAGATGAAGGAGGCTGACAATCGCAGACAGGCTGCAGCTGCAGCTGCTGCAGCCTCTCCATCCACTCCCTCTGAGAGTGGAATGGACAAAGTCGTGTCTCAACTGGCCACTGTGGCTAAGAGTGTGCTTGGCCCTGTCAAACTCAACATCCCAGGTACTAAAGAGGCCTCGGAGCGGACAAAGGACCAGCGTCCCCAGACAGATCCCACCCACCCAAAGATAAAAGAATGTCGTCTGGAGCGTCCTGATTCTCCTGACCGCTTGAGCCCATCTGCTGCTTCTGGCTCCCAGTCTCCACTGTTGACTGAATCTCCCTCTAAACAAACATCATCCAAATCTGAGCCAGCCTCAACTTCTCAGCGATCTTTAGAGGTCCCAGGGACTTCCAAAAGGCCAACTCCTCCAAACTCCCAAGCTGGGGAAGAACATCAGGATAGACCAGGGACTCCGAGAAGTGGCACCGCACCAAGGCCTAGGTCTGAAGCACAATCTCAGGCCCAAGCAAAGCCTAGTTCCACTACTTCACGAGACAAATCCAACAAGACAACGTAGCAGCCTTGCAGAAAGACACATTTTCTCCAGCTTTAATTTAACTTGCTGATGACAGATAAATACACATTGTAACACAAAGCAGTTGTCCTGTTTAATGTCAATATCCCTGTGAAACGACTGTGGAAAGATAAGACAGAGAAAGAGATGGAGGGGTTTACAGATGATCCCAACAGCTTAATTTCAGAATGTTTTATTCTCTGCCATTTACTAAATAATTGAGGCTTCATAATTGTTAGTTTTTCTTGTTCCTTCTTTTTTAGTATTTTTCTCAGCAGCTAGAAAACCTGGAAAATTGCTTGGGTCTGGGCCCTGAGAGACAGAAACCGTGTCCACTTACAGTATATTACCTCTTCATATTATCTTTATATTACTTTAAGAATCTTCTCTTGTAGTAGGTATAGTTGTGCCTTAAAGCAACTCCTCAGCATTTCACTTGTATTTCTTTCTGCCTGTTCATCTTTGGAGGAAGACATATTGCAGCAATAAGAGTAGCGTATCCCGAGCAATTTTCACAAACACACAAAGTTGATTTCATCACACCTGTAGTATATAAAGAAAAACCAAACTGCGTTTTCTATCTTTCTCACTTGCACTTGTGTCAGCTTTCAATTGTGTCGGACAGCAGTGAGATGTATGTCTATGAAAATTCAACCTGAGATTTTCCCTTCGGCACAGCCATCACTAATGTTGTATATGGTAACTGAAATTTTGATGTATAATGGGGGAGAATGATGGCCATTAATTGCATGAATTACCTCTTTACATGTTACTCAATGTTTCTAATAAGAAATAAACATGTTTTTAGAAATTATTTGGAATTCCTCTGTATAATAAATCATGTGATCTTTGGCCATCATTCAGATCCCAGTAAAGTTATGTCAAGCTACATTTTAGCTAAAGACATGTCAAGACTTGTAACTTGCACATCATTATGTCTAGATTTTGTTTGGTTTTGCCTTTGTTCAGAATTTCAAGCGGACCATTTTATTTCTTGTTCTTCAGCTTGCCTGTTTTCGCTCATTTTAATATCTGGACCAATTAGCTGTTGTCTCTGTATATTTGTTTGCTTTTTTGTTTTCTTATTTCAGCAGACGCTGTGTGTGTGTGTGTGTGTGTGTGTGTGTGTGTGTGTGTGTGCGTGCGCGCCTGTGCACAGAAGCATGTTTGAGTATTTGTTTCTGTGGGTTCTTATATAATGCATATTTTAAAAAGTCTGTTATTTGTTAGTTTTATGCCCTAAACAATGGGAGTGTGTTTTTGACTGGTGTCCTATCTTTGCCATATCAGCTCTGTCTGATTCAGCCCTTTGTCATATACCAGGCAAAGATGTATTTGCACAAACCCTTTTTTATTTTGTGTGTCAATAATATGAAAACCAATAAATACAGTATCCAGTTAGATCCCAGTTGGGGTCTTGAGGGGTTTGACCAGAACTTTGATGTTTTAACCACATTTTACATTTATAATCAAAACCAGTTGTCTGTATTATGTTTCCACTCAGTTTACCACTCCATTTTTTTTCTCAGTGTTCAACACTTGCCCCTAGTATAAAAGGTCTAGTTGCTAAGAGCAAGTCAATCCTTAAAGTAAAGGCACTTTCCAACACACTCCTGCCCTCTTTTTGACCTTGCCCACATAGAAAATTGTGAAAAAGTGTTTTTACTTGGTCTTTATAACTGATTGTGATTTAGTCACATGATGATGGTATGTACAGTTACACTATAACCTTATTCATGTTTTGTCCATATAAAATGTGAATGGATGTCTTGCACACTTATGCTTCTTTAAGGAATGGAGCTGTTGATCGCATTGCAGCCTGAAGCTTAATTCCTGACTAACCTAATTAATCTGGGCACCATGATCGGTGAAAAATGCACTTGTGGTGAGAATGGCATTTGGATGAAGTTGGAAATGCATCTGTGGGCAGTCAGGTTTATTAGAGTGTTTGACCTGTTGGGTCTAGAGAACATTGATCGATCCTACACGCTAGTGGTCAAGGCGTAAATACATGGTTAAGAACAACGCTTAACCATTATGTCCACAAGTGATGACCTACAACTGAATCCCACTCCAAAGTTATCATTCTCAAACTTGAATCTCCATTTAAACTAAATTGGGAGGGCTTATAGAAACTGCCCTTAAATGTTTACATGTGTTTTGAGAGATCATTTGTAAACAGCACACTAGTGCATTATGTCTAAATAATGTGTCATAAGTGTAGTGCGAGTGCTCAGGCACATTTTGTAACTTAGATGATGGCAGGCAACTAGTGATTTCCTTTCTGTCTGCATTGCATTTGAGATTTTACAGGGTGTAAAGACTTTAAGAAACTGTTGCATTCACTCGATAAGCCTAGTATTTAGTTTTTCACTAATTTTTTTACACATAATCTCTGAAGACCTGCTTCACATTCTACCCGTTGTGCTCTTAACAAAAAAGGAAAACAGTGTGTAAATGTTAAATTCATCTCCGCTCCCTTTTCGTGAGCTGCCTTGGGCTGTAAAAGTGAACGCTAACTGCCTTCTCATGTACGTGATGGGGATGATGATGATGGTTGGGCTATTTGTTGAGGTGAAGTCTGGTGTCAGAAAGCCTGCGGTGGTCATCCATCAATGTCCCGCAGCCACATGCCACCATGCACGCACTAGTGAAGTGTAATCTCACACACCGTCTAGAGCAAATTTTGCCGCCACCTCTCACCTGTGGTATAGCTTGGCTCTTTATGATCGAAAAAAACAAAACTTTGGAGCACACATACATGTACTACTTACATCTGCCTACCATAAACACGCATATAGACTCTATGTCCAACCACTGCCCTCTCCTAATGTCTGTGTGTGTTTGTGTTCGACCCAAATGGCAGCACAGATGAGATGGTTTACTTTTATGTAAATATTTTTAGTTCTGGTGTTCTGAGTGTCTTTAATATGAAAAGAATTGAAGTTATTTGGTGTGCAATGGCCACTGCCTTAGACATGACACATAGATGGAATGGGACAATGACTAGATATTGTGTGTATTTTAAGACCTGGCACTCGGTATGGGAGTCAATGGTGATACAGTGGTGTTATGGATTTAGGGCACTGTCCATGTGTCAGTCATGCTTTGTCCAAGACTAAAGGAGACAATGTGGTTGTACAGACACAAGTGAAAAGAAATGGGCAAAGAAAAAAAATCTTCTAGAGTTAAACCAGTGCAATATCTTACAATTTTCTATTGTGGTAAGACGCATGTTTGTTGTTAATCCTACCTTATGAATAATAATAAAAAAATTTTAAGTAACTCAGCATGTGGCTTGTATTTATTTATGTGAGACATTAAGTTGGATCTACCAAACAGATGTTGCTAACAGCAAATGAATAATAGTGTTGCATTCAACAGAATGTTTTTCATCTGGAATGGAACTGCAAAAATGACTTTTCAAGCAAGTTTAAAACATGCCCGTCTTCCATTGCTTGGACAAACAGCACTACAACACTGAATATCAAAAGTATAATACTTATCTGCAGAAGTGAAACTGTAAAACAAGAAAAATAGAAAAGTATATTTCTTCTTGTACTTGGATGTAAAAGTAGTTGGTCTCTCTAAAGCTCTATTAAACACTCCACTTGGATGTTCTTTAGTAAAAATAAATAAATACCATATTAAAAATTTGTGACATTTTCCATGATGCAGTTAAATCTTCAATGTTGCATAGGAAGCCAGTTTTAAATGAAGAGTGTTGAAAAATTCACTCTCAGCTCATTTCCCCTTACTTTAGGCATGTTAAATGGATCCCTAATGGACCGTTATTTTGGTATTTGCTCACCCACCTGTCACGAGCTTGTTTCAGGAAATTCATTGCTTTAATGAATGCAGAAGACAGTCGGCACAAGACATAAACACCATGTTAATAGGCAGCATGCCAACGCTAGGCATTGACAAGACAAAGTAATGAAGTCCATTAGATTCTGGTGAGTGTGTGTTTTCTCGGGGCTCTCAGATGGGCTGAGTGTATGTTCGAGAGCTGTTATGCCCTGAGGGCAAAGACAAAGGGGTCAAAGGTTAGCTGGCTTGCTTAAAAGGCGCCCACCATAGGGGATAATTGGACTCTTGTCTTGCCTTCATTCACTAGTTTCCCATCAGCAGGCCTATTAAGAAAGTATACAGTGTGAAAATGTGCACACTTCAACCTGCTCCACAGACCCCCTCGCTTACCATCTCCCCACGGCACGCGAACCACTAGAGAATGAAGATGCTCCGTTGACCCAATGTGTCTCTTCCTCTCGGCCCACCCCCCTCTGACAGGAAGCTGGTGCCACTGATGGATTGCTGGCTGAGTCTGTCTCTGATACCCGCTCTACATGACCAGGTAAATTCATTCCATTCCTGCCTCTCTCTACACAGCCGCCCGTCCCAGCATCCACTGCCTGACAGCCAGCCTAATGGAGGGACCAGGCCAAATGGATTTCAGAAGAAAAGCGAAGGGGGGCAGGGCCTCAGGGGGGCAATAAATCTCCCCTATTTCAGAATTTATTTTCCCCAATCCTCTCACTTTTTTTTTTACTTCCAAGTTTTCTCGAAGAAATGGAAAGGAAGGAAAGGTTTCACTGCCTATTGATTCAATTTAAATGTGACAAGTCTGCATGCAAGTACATGAATAATTGTATCTTATTTACGAGTATGAGCCACATGTTGAACGTTAACCTTCCAAACTGACTCGGGTGCACTAGATAATAGGATACAAAATAAATGCTATCATCAGTTCGATTTGATATTAGATGTTAGCAATTAGTTTTACCTGCTTATAGTATGGCATAGAAGAATGGCAGGTGGAAGCTGCATTATAGGCTAATTGCTCTCTGTGGTACCACGCGCCACGTTTAATGAGCCTTATTCTGTGTGATGAATGTGCACACACACCCATAACCTGTACAGTGTGCAGACTTGATGTTGCCTGCCAGGCAAATAGTGTGAAAGTTCAGTTGCTGAGAGCAATAAATTAGCCCGTGGAGAAGAGAAATAGAGTGGGGTATTGGGATTTCAGCTCGCCTAATACTGCAAGCCAAGGAAATGGTGAAAGAAAGGATCTGAAAGCCTGTGGATTTTGATAGCAGTAAAGAAACTCTTAAGTGAACTGTGGCTGGTGGGTCATTAGGAAGGCCTGAACCTGACAGAAACTGAGTAGGCTATATTGCAGATTGTGAACATGAATGATTCAATAGCTAATTTTATATGATACTAAATTATTTAAATATTGACAGAATTCATTGTGAAATTCAGTTTCAGAATTCAAATGTGAATTCAAAAGTTTCATGGAGATTGGAGGATGATAGCCATGAAGTCATTTACAAAACACTAAATTATTAATTATAATAATTATTATTATTTTTTTGGAAACTCAGGTTATATTCAGGTGATACACAGCGGTTGTGTGTGTATATAGTTGGTTGGTCGTTTGTTTTTTATTTCTACGGCGTCAAGCAAGGTAACTCCGCCCACATTGGAATTGCATTGGAGGGAAGTACCGCACATTTTGTTTATCATCAAGTATGGATCGATAAGGAAATTGTGTAGCGGTTGAGAAAGTAAAATTGAGTGACATATCCCTGAGGTTTCAAATGGAAGACCACAAAACCAAAGTCGTCTGGAGATATGTGTTTTACGTTTTGCACTGCGTTGTTAGCAGAGTGCGCGCAGAGAGAACTCATTCACACACTTAAAGGGATAGTTCACCCAAAAATGAAAATTCTGTCATTAATTACTCACCCTCGTGTCGTTCCAAACCCGTAAGACCTCCGTTCATCTTCGGAACACAAATTAAGATATTTTTGATGGAATCTGAGAGCTCTCTGACCCTCCCATAGACAGCAAGGGTACTACCACGGTCAACGTCCAGAAACGTAGCAAGGAGATCGGTAAAATAATCCATGTGACATCAGCGGTTCAACCGTAATTTTACAAAGCTA